ACATAATGATCCTATGTGTGTTACAAGCTTCCAACCTGAACACACAATCCTTGGCTACTATCTGCTTCTTTGATTTTAGAGCAGCGAATCTATACTTGTTACCTTCCACATGGGTTCTTCTCATTTCCTCACCCATAGCAACTATCATAATATAATTTTTGTACCAGCAGGCTTATTGACTATTACAGAATCGTAAAATTGTAGTTGATTACCTTATTTAAAGTGCTAGTTACCCCACCTTGTTCTCCCACTCAACCCTGGTCTTCTAAGCCTACTGGCAACTCCTAACGTTCACATCCCTGGAGTCATCCTTATTTGGGACCCTGTCTAAGGCTGAATGGTATGAATGGCCTACAACTTACAAGAGGGTGAAGATGACCTCTTAGATAGTCAAGACCTTACCCTGCTGATTCCGTGACCTTTCTGTGCACAACATCGCTTTAAACTCTCATTATCCCGTTTTCTACTGTGCGGTGGCTACGCGGCCTCTAAAGCTTCAGTGATCAGTCCCTTCTGGGGATTAGTCTCTTTCAGCTGACTCACCTTGGAGGCCTTTGTGGGCAGCTTAGGGGGTTTTGCTTGATCAGCACATCCATAGCTTTACCAGGGCCTGAACTTTAGCGGGGCTCCGGCAGTCTCTCCCCTTTGTTTTGTGTTTTGTTTTTCCTTTTTTCCTTACTCAGTTAAAACAAATGCAGTTGTCTAGAAATTTCTCTGCATTTGTTCATGAGGCAATAGCTGATGAGACAGGGAGCAATTATGAGGTTAACGATTAACTAAAAATAGATCTATCCAAAGATTCCTTTTGTTGTGGATCTATTTTTCCTGACCTCACTTAAGCAAAAAGCACCCATGAGCCTGGATTTCATCCGTATGTGCAACAACTTTGAACCTGCTGTTGCGCTTCAAAAAGGAATACCGCAAAAATCATTTGTAATTAAATATCTCAGAGAATGAAGATGAATAAAATGTGAACTCTTTTCAAGCAGTTCACAGGGGAGTTGAGATGCAGAATGATTTTCCATGATTCCACCAAAATATACCTGAGAAAAAAAGAAAGTGACCTGGAACATCAGCTACAGGAGAAATCACTTTGAGGTGGTAGCTTGGAGGAAGGGAGAGTAATTGAATTATGCCATAATCAAGTCCCTGTAGTTCATTTAGAGAGTTTTGTATTTCCATTTGGAAATAATATAGAAACAATGTGTATTGGATATATATAACAGTACATATTGGAAATGGTGTGTATTGGAACAATGTATATTGGAAACAGATGAATTCAGATGGGAAGTGAGCACTCAGAGGTCTCTCAGACTGCCACTCAAAATTCTGGAAAGGACATTTGCAATGTTTCCTAGTAGCTATAAAGTGTAAGGCTCTGAGAGGCAGGATGAAGAGCGTCTCCTTCTTGGACTGTATCGCAAAGATCAAAGAAAACCTATCTGGTAAGGGAAAAAAGACCTACAATTACGTTCTCGAAACTTCTCATCCTCCTTCGCAACGTCTCATTCTCCTAAATGGTGCTTGCTGAACCGGTAGGAGGAAGAATGGGAGGGCAGAGTCCACTGGACCCCTCTGCCCAGCATAGGGGTCAGTGTTTGCCTTTGATGTGGTTCTCTCCAAATGAACAGGCTCCCTGGGTGTGGCTAAAAGTCTATGAAGGGTTTCAGAAGGAGGGCTTCCGCTGGAAATACTGCCATCTTTCTCAGCGCAGGTAAGCTGGCAACAGGGCCATTTCCTTCCCACACCTGGGCCTTGATTTGCGCTCCCTTCCCAGGAGAGCTTCCCGCTCCTGAAGTCTCTGCACAGCCACCATAACCACCAGCTTACTGTCCGTCCACATTGTCTGCCAAGCAGAAACCACCCGAGCAGAGCGCTCATGGCCCCTTCCCGGCCTTCTGGATAGGAAATGTGACCCCGCCTCTCCTGAAGGGTAGAGCCCTGCCCTCCTGGCCCCTGCCCCTACTGTCCAAAGATGAAAAGATGAACCTGTTTTTGCTGAGGAAGAATGCCTTTGACTCGAGTCCCGTCCATTTTGAAAACTGTCTTCTTTGGTCCCAGGATGTGTGCTTTCCGCAAAATAGGTTTCTGTTTCTTTGTTTTGTGGTAATGCAGATTAACCCCAGGGTCTTCCCCCAACGACATCCCCAGCCATTTTCCCTTTAAAGTAAGGTCTCCCTAAGTGGCTAAACTGCACAGGCTGGGTTTAGGCTTGGGTTTGCAATCCTTCTGCCTCAGCCTACTATTACAGGCATGTACCACCATACCTATCAGGGCAAGATTTAACATGAGTTCATAGTGTGGCTTTTAGGAGTCCAAACCCTCAGTGAAGTCATACACCAAATTTTGCACCTGTATGTTGCCTTCACAAACTGTGACCTCTTTCCCTAAGAAGCACTGTGCTAAAGAGTAACCAACCTGTGTTATCTCTGAGCTCCCTTCATTCTCCTGAAATTCAATTATATCTAGGGCATGGGGTGAATTTTTGAACTCTCAATGCCTTGGCTCATTTTGCAAAATTATTTAATTATTTAAAATAAACACAGCTGGGGGGGTGGCCCATGCCTGTAATCCCAGCACGCTGGAGGCTGAGGCAGGAGGATCATTGGGAGTTTGAGACCAGCTTGGGCTACAAAGTGAGCTCAAGGCCAGCCTGAACTGCATACTGAGACCCTGTCTCAAAAAGACAAAAATAAAATAAAATAAAACAACACACAGCTTTCTAACCTGTCTTTGCTATAGGGAGGATACCCAGGGACTTTTGAGAACTTGCTGATATGTTTCGGGTAAAAATTTACCTGAACAATACATACTTTACCCAAGATTGTATGTAAAGGACAAATACATACGTGAAAAGATGCTCAATATCATTAGTCCTGTGTAAGTGTAAATTAAGGCTTCACTGTGATGCCCCTGTACATCTCCAGTAGAACTAAAGTCAAAAAGACTAACCACACTAAACACTGGAGAGGATCTGAAGTAAACAGAGCTCTTACACATTGCTGGGGGACAAGGGATGGGCAGGAGTGAGAAGCCAAAATGGTGAAACCACTTAAGAAACGGTTTGACTGTTTCTGATAAAATTAAGTGCACACTTATCTACAATTTGCAAATCTACCCCTAAGTGTGTATACAAGAAAAACACCTAACCACGCAAAGACCTGGATGTGGTTGTTTACAGAGGTTTTATTCATAACAGCCCCAACCTGGCAATGACACAACTGTGCATCAAATGTGAGTGCATAAATGAACTGTGACATGTCCATACAATGACATGCCACCCGGAACCCGCTGCCGCCCACAGGTACAACACGGATGGTTCTCAAAAGCACTATGCTAAGTGGAAGAAGCCAGACACAAAAGACTGCACACTGTATATGCCATTTATGTGGCACTCTGGAAGAGAAAAGGCTGCAGTGACAAAGACCAGCAGCTGCAAAGGGCCAGACAGGAGGGAATTAACTGCAGATGTCTCAGAAACTTTGAAATGATGAACTGGTGCTGTATCTTGATTGTGGTGGTGGATACATGAGTTAAATACATTTGTTAAAGCTCATCTAACTGTATGCTTAAAATATTTACTTTATAGAAACTATTCATTAATAAAACTCATTTAAAAAACACTGCAGAGCATCACTTTTCTCGGTAAGTAGGACAATCCAGACATGGAACACCTTTACAAGGATAAAAGAGATCTCTGACTTGAGGCCAGCCTATATTGTGTTATGATTTATTTTGAACTCCAGCCTTTTTTTTTTTTTTTTTTCTAATTTTCTGTTCCCAATGATACTTTCATGCCACAGCTGCTTTTTACATCTTTCCCATTTTAATGTGGAGTTAGGGTTGTAATAAGTGCTGGAGTCCAAACTGGGGGTTGGTTGTATTTTAGGCTATCAATCCACTACAAAATCTGGAGTAGACTGGAGGGGAGAGAAGGAAGAAAGAGTTCTGAAACAGAACAGAGGGGATGCAGAGAGATTTCACAGAGAGACATTTGAGTGCAGTTAGTCTCAGATGTGAGAGTATAAAAGAGAGCAGTGTTCAAAGAAGACTCTTGTTCAAAGACTTAGCTGCTGCCCCTGGGGAAAAGCCCAACTCTTGCACAAGGCATATCACCAGCGTGATCCACTTTCAGTGTATTCATTGCTTACTGCATTTTTTCACTAAAGGAAAGCGGCTTAAGCGCACACTTATCAGCACTCCATAAAGTTTTGTTATTTAACAGCAGATGTTCAATATATCCTAGTTAATTATCCATTCATCTACTAAAGGATATTGGCAATGTTTGCATTTTGAGGTATTGCAAATGAAGCTGCTCTCAACATTCTTGTACCCGTCTCTGCGTGGATATTTGCTTTCGCTTCTCTTGGGTTAATACCTGGGAGTAGAATTGCTGGATCATGTGGCATGTTTAGTACACCTGCACAATGGAATACTACCAAGAAATAAAAAGATGTTGGTCTGTCATGGATGAGTCTCACCAGAATTATGCTGAGTAAAAGAAGCCAGACCCTTTCCCTAAAAGACAAGAAATACTGTATGATTATGTTTAAATAAAACTCTGGAAAAAGCAAACAAATCTAGAGCAACAGAAAACAGATGAGCGGTTGGGGGAAATGGACGAGGAGAGACAGGAAGGGGTATGGAAAAACTTTTAGGTGTGATGGATATGTTCATTATTTGATTGCAGCGATGGTTTCATAGTTGTATATGTGTGAAACTAGCCAAAGTGTGCATTTTAAACGTATGCGGCTTATTCTATGCCAATTATACCTCAAGCTGTTGAAAAAAAAATATTGGTTCATTAAGTAGTAGGCTGTTAATAACAGCAAGGAGAATATACAGGAAACATGTTCAATGTTGACGGAAGGAATGTAAAGCCGGGGCTCAGTAAATGTCAGAGAAACTGGTGTGCAGAGGCAATAAATGAATATTGGGTGTCCAGTAATTTTAGAATGAACGAATGAATGAATGAATTTGACAAATATTTATTTAACATTTATTATGTGCCAGGCATTGACCTGCGAACACATTAGGAAACCAAACAAAACTTTCTGGACTCTGAGAGCTTTAATTTTAGGATAGTAAGCAACAAACACGTAAATAAAACATACAGTGTGCTAAATAGAGGCTAAGGAAAAGTAACAAGACTGAGAAGAGGGATGGGAACTCTAGGCAAGGAGGGTGACATTTTAAGGGGATAGACCCCTTTGCGAACGTGTGATGCTTGACAACAGAACTGAAGACGTGAACAGGCGTAACTGGCTCCAACTAGACATGGCGGCGCACACCTGTGATTCTCGCCTTCTGGGACGCTGAAACAGGAGGATCGCAAATTGCAGCCCAGCCCGGCACAGCAAATTAGTGCCATCCCGTCCCCCCAAAATTTTAAAGAGCTCAGGATGTAGCTCAACACGAAGGCCCTGGGCTCAATCCCAAGTACCAAGTTGGGGCGGGGTAAGGCTCACGATGTTCAGAAGCAAGCAAGAGCTGACAGAGCTCACCCTAGAGACGGAGAGCGAGCCGGAGCGTGGGGGCCCCGCCGCCACGCCCCCCGGGTGCCGCCCCTGGGCCGGCGCGCTCCTACCTGCGCCTTCAGCCAGGAGGCGCGCTT